AAATCATTGCTCTATTTACAAAAAGGTACAATTCAACACAAAGTACAAAAATCATCAATATTAAAAGAAGAAGAACTCTAGTCTAGCATGTCTATTAAATACATGCCCTGTACCAGGCTGTATGCAGAGAGTTTGTGGCAAAAATATTCAGATATCCATAGCCACTATTCACAAGGAATTCACAGAATGGCAACATCGTGCTGTTGTCACATTGTTTTATGGGTTAGTCGATTATGAAAATGTTGATTTACTGTAATCCTAGAACCCTTCTGGCTCTAAAGTCTGATGCTAAATCTAGAGAGATCAATCTCCAAAGTAAAACTACCCTGTCTTAACTTTATTTGGGTATGCACAGCTCCCCTTCCAAGTACGCCAATCACTGTTATGTTAGCAATGTTTGCCATACTCAATAACAAATTGCAAATAAGTTCTACACTCATATCCTATCTACACATATACTACTTTTTTGTCTTCCAGCTGGTCCTTAACTTCCTCTCCAAAATATTCCAAGCCTGCCTCTCCAGCTACATCTGTTATTGAAACTGCCTCTAATTCCATATACTGCTATGGTCACTATCTAATGCTACATTGAAAAGTTCATGATAAAGAGACTTGGCATGGATATAAGGATCAGTGGTCTGTCTGCAATGAAGTGTTGTCCGCATAAACATTTAATTCCTGTTGGTTCCTTACCATCAAGAGTCGACTGCAGCTACAGAATGACTCTTAACTGGGATATCTCCTTTCATCCAGGCATAGGTGTGGGAATAGGGGTGAGGTTTTTTATTGCTTTCTAAATATGGCATCAGAAACATTAGTCAATAAAAAGAGAAATGAATCCTTGTTTAAAGGCTGTTGTATAAAAGAATTCATCTGGATCTTATTTCCTTTGCCTGACACTTCACACACTTTCAATCACTTATTTAGCTGCTAAGATCATCAAGTAAGTCTCTTTCAGTGTTATAAAGAACATTTACCAACCGAGTTTTCAAAATCATGCCGCTAATCGTGTCTCATGGCTAGAGAAAAAGAAGCAAAATTACCCTAACACCAAGTTTTGTCACTAGATTACATTTATTCCCTTGCATACTGAAAAGTCCACTGCCTGATTAGTTTTTATTTGCCTGCTAAAGTTTCATTATTAAAATATGAAGTAACAGCCAAAAAATTTATCAGAGAACCTAGAGAGGGGATAAAAATGACACCTTTAAGATGGTGCCACAGCTGTTTATTGCCCCTGCTATACCAGAAATGATTGTTTGAAAGCATGTATACAGGCATCTGTGAATAAACAACAAATAGCTAATTTGCTAAGTGTTTTATACACTTAAAATAATTTCATATACTTAGAAAACTGTTCCATTTTTTATGTTGTATAAATCGTATGTATTTATAAAGTAATTCCACAGTATAGAGCTGTGAAAATGAGAAAATTCCAGAAGTTAAGAAAATTTCCCAAAGTCACAAAAGTAGTATATTGTGAGCCAGAGCAAAGCATTTCATGGAACAAGTAAATCAGATTTTGACTCTAAAAAAAAAAAAAAAAAAAAAAAGGTTGGGAATGATACTCTTGGCCATGGCTGTGATTCTCCATGGTAAGGTCACAAGCAGCAGTGGGCTAAAACCACTAAATTGTTCTTAGGACTAGCTCTACCAGGAGTGACAATTGTAAATACAGATATTATATTTAAACTTAGTGTGCCCACACACTAAAGCCAGTGGGATACTGTGGGTATTTACTTCATGGAAATCTACTATGGTAAAGATCTCCCTAGTAATACCCTGCTCTAACAACCTTTCCTCTGGATTGACTTGTTTATTTCGTCTTAATCTGAAAATGTCACATAGTATAGATCATAGTAATCCTAAACTAACTTTCCTATTTATAGTGCAATTTGTTAACAAAAACATAGAATAAACAAAATCATGAATCTTCCGATTCCTGTGACATCTACATTGGTGTTTCTCTGACCCCAGAGGATAATGTTCATTTATACCAAAGACAACAGAAGATTAGAGACATCAGATTCGCTATGCCTAGGGTTTAGTAAAGTATTAACATTTCTTAAGGCAAGTTCCTTGCATGAGACAGGCTTAGGGGAATTAATATAAAAACTCAACTTCTGATGCATCTACTTTGTGGAATACTTTTATTTAACCGCATAGCTAAGCATATATCTGTTATTGTCTAAGCATCTATTAATGTGAAAGAAATACAAAGTTATATTTTTTATCTTAAATTTAATATGTAGATTTTGACTCCATAAAGATAGAAATACTATTAATTTATAAGGAGTCATGGATTTTCCACTTACCTTTGTTTCAAGTGATAAAGGAGTTTTTTAAACCAAGAAAGTAAGGTAAATATATGTTAGGATTATGGCTTGTTCAAAGAAAGTCACCTGTTCTATACAATGCACACAGAATTGCATATAGCAAAGATGCTTTCTTTAATATGGTACATTAAATTACCAGTTATAAATAATTATTATCCACACATTAAAATAGAATCTTAAATGAATGATAATGTTAACAGGATATACCCTTGACATGATGTGATGAAAACTACTTCTGTGGTCTTCCTTTCCGTAATCCCTGTGTAACCATGAGAAAAACAGAAAACAAACCTAAATGTAAAGACATTTATCAAACTTCTGACCAGTACTCCTCAAAACTAGCACGGCTATCAAAACAAGGAAGGTGTTCAGAACTATCACAGTCTAGAGGAGCAAATATGAGAACTCAGTGTAATGTGGGATCCTGGATGAGATTCTAGGGCAAAAGAACATTAGGTAAAAACTTGGAAAATCAAATAACGGGCTTTAGTTAATAATATTGTATGAATATTGATTCATTAGTTGTGACAAATGTACCACATTAATGTGAGATGTTAACAATAAGAGAAGACATGCAGGGTATATGGGAACTTTCTGATATATTCTTGTACCTTCTCTGCAAATCTTAACATTCTAAAATTAATGTCTATTACTTTAAGAAAAGCAGAATTACAACCAGTCAACAAATGGTGCATCATTCAAGTTAATTTGTAGAATCATAGTCAGAAAGGACCTTCATGGTTTCATAGCATAGTTTTCTTAATTTTTAGAGAAGTTTCAGTAAATTTCTCAAAGTTACATAGTGCTCTAAGATAGTAACTAAGACTTGACGTTGCATCTCCCAGTGCCAGATCTAGTGCTTATTATTTTACCTGCAGTTACTCATGCACTCAAACTTGATTTCATAAACATTTATTAAGCAACTATTTTTTGCTAAGTTCTATCCCAAGCCATTGGGGATAAGAAGGCTAATAAACATAGATCATGTACTTTGTGGCAAAAATCGTTTATAAGACATCCCATAAAGGCTTGAAGTAATAACTATTATTATAAATTTAATAATTCTTAATCTGCTTTGTTCCTTGCCATATGCTTGCACATATACTGCGATGAAATGGCCACTCACTAAATATCAAAAGAAAACAATGAATAAATGAACAATAATAGCTAATCATGATGGAAGCACTTTTAAGGTATTTACAAGTATTAACTCATTTAATCCTCATAAAAAAACAAGAGGTGCACAACATTTGTATTATCATCATAGCAAAAAAATTGAGGTATGGAGAAATTTGGGAACTTGTCCAATGCCAGAGCTGCCAACAGGTAACACAATGATTTGAACACAGTTTGGCTCCGTTGCATGTGCTCTTCATTTATTTATTCCTGAAAATTTAAGTTTTCATAAGATAATTTGAATTATTCTTGATTTATTATCCATGATGAAAGATAACATCTTAAACATTTGACCATACAGGAAACTAAGCATGGCCCAGGCTAGAGTCAGTGATGTATATCCAAACATCCATTATGCTAAGGTATTAAGTTGCTCAAAACCATTTAGAAGGAGCACAGAAAAGGAAAACCTATACCTCTCAACTAACCTCATGTGCAGTATGGTAAGAATAAACCATAGGCTTTCATTGCACCTTCTTTTCCCCCCAATAGATGCGAAACTAGGAAAATGATTCACTTTTCTTATAGTTTCCCAAAGCCTGATTCAAATTTCTTTGCAGTATACAACCAAAAGCTGTGGAACAATACATGTGACAAGGAGTTAAAAATAATGGGTGAAACTCAGTGAGAAGAGAAAGATTTGAGATGGTTTGGGCTTGCATTTCTGCGCAATTTTTCTGCCAGCACCCTGTAGCAAATATTCATTATTGCAACTGTCACTATTTGGCTTTGGCAGCAAAACAGAATGCTAATGTGTTGTGGAATGGGACTTCAGTTGAGAGTAAAAGGAAATGTCAATATTCAAAGTGGCCCATATGTGACCTTCATCTTGTATAAAAATGTTGTAAATACTTTTTTAAAAAATCCGTAAAGCATAAGGAAAGATTTCAAAAAA